GTTTGCAGCTTTGCAGGAAGCTGTTTGAAAGGGTCATTGAAAAATGATCTTACTAAATCAAGCTGTACTAATATTTTTATTTCCTTTCATGCAATGCCATGTTTAAAGGCATTGGATGGGCCTGTTTATAAGGCCTGGGAAACTAGTCTGTGTGCCTTAAGTTCAGAAAAACAAAAGCGTCCCACACTTAAACCAGAGAGAACGGAGAGAACAGGATGGCATGTACCCTTCTCGAAGCCGGTCCTCACTCTCCGCTCCTGATAGATGCTTGACGATAAAGCCCAGCAAAATCCAAAACTTCTTGTCAGGGGTATGTCACATGTCCTGACATGTATGCATATTAAGTAATCTTCTTGTGGTTCCAACAGTTTTTTAAGACAAGAAATTGGTAGAGAAACTTAGTTCATTAATTGTATGGTTTATAGCTTATTTTTTAAATAAAAGACAAGTAATAGACACTCATCTAGGAAATGACTTTTTGCAGCATTTGTAGAGAAGAGAAATTCAGAGACCTAATCCCCCCAGGGGTCCCTAAGCTCCAACCCAATCTACTGCAACTGATTTAAGATGAGCAGTGTTAGGAGAGGTGAAAACTGGAACCCTACTGAGTGTGTGAGGGTTGCTGGGCCTGTGCTCAATGTTCACATCTCCTCAGGAAGGGTGTTCTAATGGTGAGTAGGGCAGATGTTAGCCATAGAGGTCCTGAAGCCCAGTAAGGACCACTGGGGCAGGGAAGCAGAGAAAATACAAGAAAACAGTATGAAAAAAACAATTTCCTCCTCTTCATGATGTGATCAGAGATGTACTAAGAAAGTAAAACCCAAGCATTTTAGGGTAGGAGGGCACCAGAGAGATCAGTTTTATGCATGAAGAAAGGGGCTGGGGCCTCCAAGGAAGGTCCCTTGCTAGGTCCAGTAGCCAAATAGGGGTGAGACTGGGAGGGGACCTTGGCTCTACAACAACAGAGCCTCCCCAGAGCTGACCCCAAGGCCCTGCGGAAGCCAGGAAAACCTCGCCACTATTACAGCAGAGAGGCTCTCTGCCTAAAACCTGGGACAGGAGGAGTCAGGCACGTGGCTGGTAGTTTGAAGCTGAAATACTAAGACCATAATAATGCCTAATATGAGGGAGAAAAAGCACTAGAAATCGTAGTATCTAGGAGATTCCAAAACACTGCTTCTCTTCAGCCTTTTCCAGTATGTTTTACATAGTCTGACTGTTTACTGGTCGGATTCAACCTGCAAGTACCTGGGAGGGAGATAATGCCCAAATAGCTTCCACAGTATAAGAGAAAGGCATGTGGGCAACAGGTCACCGCTCTTGGGCCTGAGTCTGGAAGGGGACCAGTTCCACTGTGGCAGGGTCTCAGGAGTTCAGTCTTGCAAACCGCAAAAGCAGACTGCTGTTGGAAGCCCAGCTCCAAAGGCAGTCAAAGAGGTTTGAGGTTTGCAGGATGTGTGTCTAGCTGACGCCTTTCTGGCTCTAACTATTAAATTAAATAAGATTATTTTCTAAAATAAAAGAAGGGATGTCTGGGTGGCTCAGTCATTAAGCATCTGTCTTCAGCTCAGGTCATGATCCCAGGGGTCCTGGGATCGAGTCTCACATTGGGATCCCTGCTCAGCGGGAAGCATGCTTCTCCCTCTCCCACTGCTCCTCCCCCTGCTTGTGTTCCCCTCTCGCTGTCTCTCTCTGTCAAATAAATAAAATCTAAAAAAAAAAAAAAAAAACCCACAAAAAAACTGAACTATCATCCTTGTGTTAAAAAATATATAAAATAAATGAAAGGAAAAAACAGGAAAACTAAAGATAAAAACTGGCTTCTGACAAATAGAAAGATGATGTTTGCTGCTTTTCTGGTGCAAAAAAAAAGAAAAAAGAAAGAAAGAAAGAAAAGAAAAAAGAAAAAAAAAGAAAGGAAGAAAAAGAGCTTAACTGGCCCCCAAACCAAATGCCTGATACCTCAGAGGTTCTCTACTGAGATGGGTGCATCAACAGCAGGGATGGTGATCAGAATTGATATCCTCAGGACAGCTTCCTGGACCTTAGCACACACAACTCAACGGGTCTTCTTAGGAGGAAGATTGATTCTAGGGGTCTGGATGGAGCCTGAGAATCTGCCTTTCTAACCAGCTTACGATGCTGCTGGCCCACAGACCACACTCCGAACAGCAAACTCTGAAGTTTACTAAGCACCTTCCTAGGTAGGTCTTGAACTTGTCCAGGTGAATGAGAATCCACACGTCATGAAGCATCTTGGGAGCCTATCTCATTCCAGCAAAGGAACCAGGTCAGTCTTGATGCAAAAAAGGTAATACGATGCCAGGTAACAGACCATGTGTCCCTCAAAATGCCACTGACGACCCAGCTGGCATCAACTGGTTGCTTCTGGACTTTCCGAAGAATGTTTGCTACTTGCCTGGCACATAGGAAGCTCAACAGAGGCCTTGAGAGGAATGAATGAATGAATGAATGGATGGATGGATGGATGGATGGATGGATGGATGAATGAACGAATGAACAGAAGGCAGCAGGAAGAAGGACACTAAGTGAACTTGGTCCCCAGCTAGCCTCTGTGCATATTTAGACTATCTCATAAATCTTTCTACTTACCACATGCGGAGATCGGGGAATAATATAAAACCACTGTCAGACTTGGGGAGAAAAAGGAAGGAGGGAGGGGAGAGGAGGGGGGAGGTGCAGCCACTAACTTCTGGGGATCACTGAGCGTCAGACAGAGTCAAGTCCTTTACAATGACTGTCTACTCAATCTTCTCAAGCCCTCTGTGAAGTGGGGATGATAAAGATTTGCACTTTACAGACTGGGGAATGGAAGCACAGAGAGGGTCAGTGACCTGGGATGCCCTAGTTACGAAGGAGGAGGCAGGTTCCGGCCCAGGCTGCCTGAGCCCCACACTCCCCACCCCACTCCGTGGCAGGCTCACCACTCCCACCTCAGGGCAGCACAGCGGTTCCCCTGCCACCCACAGTGAGCCCTGACCCCCCCCCCAGTCAGTACCCCCAAACTGGCTTGCCTGGGGCAGCTTCTCCAAATCAAGTATTAACACAGCTGCAAGACCTAATCGATGGTCTCGGTGCCTGAGTTCTTATTATACAGATACAGCTTAGTGCACGGACACCACAGGTTTATGAGTTTTATCTGAAGGGCTCTGGGTTTCTTTGAAATTAAGTAGTAAAACAAAAGAACCATAGAGAATATTGAGGAGAACACTGTTTGTGGAGAGGTAACTTTTTTTTTTTTTTTAAGATTTCATTTATTTGACAGAGAGAGAGAGAGAGAGACAGATCACAAGTAGGCAGAGAGGCAGGCAGAGAAAGAGAGGGGAGGAAGCAGGCTCCCCGTGGAGCAGAGAGCCCGATGTGGGGCTCAATCCCAGGACTCTGGGATCATGACCTGAGCCGAAGGCAGAGGCTTTAACCCACTGAGCCACCTAGGCACCCCGGAGAGGTAACTTTTTAAAGGTTTCTGGAACAAAGAATCTTCATACGCTCCTCTACCCAGTCCTACTCAGCCCCATTTGCTTTATCATCTACGCAACCTCTTCCCCCCCAACACGTGTGTGTGTGTGTGTGTGTGTGTGTGTGTGTGTGTGTGTGTGTGTACACACAGTTTTCTCTGAATCATTTGAGAAGAGGGCACAAACAGCATGCCCCTTTATTCCTAAACACATCAGTGCATAATTCCTAGGAACAAGTCCATTCTCTGACATGTGCCAGTTATCGACTTCAGGGAAAGTTCACATTGATATAATACTTTCTAATCTAATCCACGATCCACATCCAACATTGTCATTTGGCCCAAGGATATCTTTGTGAGCCAGACCTCCTGCATTTTAACGGCTGGATGTGTATTAAGAATTGATACACATCATTAAGAATTAACAAGTGTCGAGTGCTTTGGCATTTTAGATAGCCCTTCCGCTGCACTCGCTCATTTGGTTCTCATGTTGCCTCTCTGAGGTCAGGCAAGCAGCATCATCTCTGTTTTACCCGGGGCCAAAATGAGCCTGAAGTAATGTTAAATTCAGAGCCAGCGTTCAGCAGCCCCCTCTCCACACATGACCACTTGGTGCTTCAAGACTGCATCAGGGCCAACCAGCAGACTGACCACTAATCCAAACGTGTAAAATTCTATTAATAAAATAATACTGCTTGAGTGTTTATATCTCTAACCATTTCCTTTTACACTAACGTTATAGATTCTAATTAGTACCCATAGCTACATACTCAGGAAGAGACAAAGCCACTCCCAGGAGAGTAGCTTGGTATGAGTTGAGATGCCCAAGAGGTGGGTCCTGGTCTTGCCCGATCTGTTTTCCAGAGCCTACCCAACCTTGCACACAGAACTTGAACTCATGACCTGGAAAGGATCCTCAGCTGCCTGCTTGACTTGATCACGGAGAGCTGAAACACTGGGTATCTCTTCCAGGGCATAGTGAAACATTAGTTTGAGTTGGGGAGGGAGTTTCCTAATCCTCACAGAGAGCCTAAAAGGGGGATCAAACTCATGAACTCGCCCATTAAACAGAAAAAGCACTGGTTTGGGAAATGGAACCGTGGGGTTCAAATCTTTACTCTGCCGCTTAGTTAATTTTTCTTGGGGATGTGACTTAAGTTTACTGGGCCTCTGTTTTATCATTCACAAGCCTAGACAGGAACTAACACCCACACGCAGAAGGGGAGTGAAGGGGCCAGCATGGAGTCTGGTCCAGTGCCTGGTGTTAAAAGGAAAAGAAAGGCTGCCTCTGTGTTCAACAGGACCCTGAAGCGGCCGAGCAGTCCTGGGTTTGTAACAGGATGTGAGCAATGTGGGAAACGTGGATGAAAATGCTGCACGCTTCACTGACTGGTAAAAACACAAAGTAACAGACGCACTTTGCAGTAAGTGCTATCTCTGGCCACAGGGAGTTGAGTTTTTCCCGTGTGTGGCCCTCTGCTCTACGTTTGTGACAGTGGGGCGGTAAGAACAAAAGATTTACCTTTTCCAGAGCCTCTCTGTCAAGTAGTTCCTGCACAGCTAGAAGCTTGATGCTGTAAGAAAAAAAAAAAAATGAAACTGGGCTTGAAAACAAATCATTTCAAATTGAAAACAAATCATTTCACATCACCAAGTATCAGCCACGTCATGAGAACAAATTTTGACCTGTCAGCCTGCATTTCTGCGGAGTCCCATCTAAAGGAACTTTGCTTTGAATTGAAATGACCGCTTCAGAATGATCAAAAATGTTTCTAAATTGTACAATTGATGGCATCATAGGATCCAGAAATTTCACGTCTGGGCCTACACCCAGAGGGGTTGAAGGTAGGACCTGCAGCAGACATTTGCACATCCATGCTCACAGCAGCCAAAAGGGGGACACAACTAAAATGCCCATTAATGGACAATGCTGGGGATAAAAAAGATATGGCAGAGACCTATAATGGAATTGTATTCAGCCTGAAAAAGAAGGAAATTCTGGCCCGTGCTACAACATAGAGGAAGCACGAAGACATGATGCTAAGTAAAACAAGCCAGACACAAAAGGAAAAATGCTGTCTCATTCCACTTTTATCAGATAGCTAGCACGGTCACATCCAAAGAGACAGGAAGCAGAAGGGCGGTTGCCTGGGGCGGGGGTAAGGAAGATGGGGGACCTGTTGTTTAGTGGGTACAGGGCTTCAGTTTGGGATGACCAAAAAGTTCTGAAGATGGATGGTGCTGTGAATGTACTCGCATATTCTCATGCTCATAAATGGTTAAAATAGCAGATTTTATGTTATGTACATTTCACCTAAAAAAATTCCAAAAATAGGGCGCCTGGGTGGCTCAGTTGGTTAAACGTCTGCCTTTGGTTTAGATCATGATCCCAGGGTTCTGGGATCAAGTCCCACATCAGGGTCCCTGCTGAGCAGGGAGCCTGCTTCTCCCTCTGCCTGCTACTCCCCCTGCTTGTGCTCTGTCTCAAACAAATAAATAAAATCTTAAAAAAAAAAAATTCTAAATATAATGACAGTTGCTTCATGCAATGGATCTGAACACATTCAGAGGAATATAAAGAAGTAAACAGTTGCCCATGTTCAGTATTAATCTTTCCTTCATGTCCTTTTGATGCCAACAAGCCAACAGCTAAAATCTCTGCTTACGAAGACGGCCTGCTCAGCTGCTGACCAGACAGTAACCAAGCCCTACTGTGTGCAGGTGGGCAAGGGTGCTCAATGACCAGGACACGCTCCCTGTTCAGGAGCTCACAGCCTCTCGGAGGCCATAGTCAGACCACAGTCAGAACACGAGGCAGGGTGCCACGTCGACGGGCCAAGATGCAAAGAGAAGCCCGGTCCTGGCAGAGGACAAGGAAGGCTTCCTGGGGGAGGGTCTGGGCTAGCCTTGACTGGGGAGAAAGGCGACCCACAGAGGGGCAGCCCAGGCAAAGGCACTGAGGGAGAGGAGAGGTGTGGAGCGTATGAACCCACCAGTTTCCGGTTTAGGGACCCGAGCCCGGACCGTAGCCAGCAACTGAGACGAGAATTCGTTAGTGGATGCAGGCTTTACAAGGAGGCATCCTCCCCATCACGACACGCTGCCCTTGATGTGTTTGTGGCCAGAAGGCCAGACTCAGAGCACATGGGAGGAAGCACGAGCGCTCGCTGAGATCGTTTAGGGAGCAGGTCAGCTGTGGGTGGTGCGTGACACTCCCTCTCCTCAGAGCCAATCTATTTGTGGTCACTGGCCACTGTGTTCTCTACCTCCGACCAACCTGCCTGGATTCTCTGGAGCAGAAATGTCCCCACTCCCCACCTGACGAGCCTCCCTCCAAAGGGGTTATTGCTCACGATAAGTTTCACCTTAATTTACAGAATTCTTCGTACTCTCTCCATGCAACTAGGCAAGCCCATCCAGCCAAATGCAATGGCTTACACAAGAGCAACTCGGGGAAGTACGATAATGGTTTTAAAGTTTACAAGACACTACCAGCACGACTAACAGTTCGGCAACTCTCAGAGCAAAAAGACAGGACTCGGGGCATTCCCTCTTCTCCAGCCACGCTAACTCTCCGTCTCTCGGACACTGGTTTTGTTGTTCATCGGCTTGGGTCCTGCCCAACATCTTTGCAACCCTGACTCTGACACTGTGTCATTCCAGGCCAAATGTGAACTCCATGTCCTCCAAGCAGCCTTCTCTGGACACTGAGGTCAAGCAGCGTCTCTGATCGTCACATTTCATTTTCTCTGGCCCACTTCCTAGTCCATTAAAGCATTGATTTCTTGGGGTGCTGTGGTCTGTCCCTTCCCAAACAGCAAGGAAGCTCCTTACAGTTGGGAGCTCAAGGGTCTTCTCACCATTCTGTTTGCAGGCTCTGTAACTGAGGCATGGAAAGGATTCAAGGAACACTTACTAACCGACTAGCAGGGCCCAGTCAATATTATAGCTGATGCAGTCCAGCTTGGCTCACTGGCCGGGCCTCAGTTTCTCTCTCTGTGAAAGAATGCCTCCAACGAGATGACTGTGTGTTTTCCCTCGGTGACACGCACTGCGGGCATGTATACGCACGCCCGCTATGAATGGGATGTATCCAGTGGCCGGTCAGCGCTCCTGGCTACTCCTCGGCACATTCTGATTCCCCACGAATCTAAATTCCAGGCCATCGATTTGGATGGCAACTTACATGCTCAGTGAGGGGTTTCTAGCTGGAGCTCAAGTTTCAGAAGCTTAAATTGCTTCTGAAATAACCACTGGATAATAATTCTACCAGGGGAAATTTTTCAGCAGTGTCTCATTTCTGCCCCAGTCCATGGTCTTGAAGTCCGATTCAGGATTGGATATCAGACATCGACCGATGAGAGGAAAGGTTTAAACACTGTTGAGATAGTCAGCTCTCCTTCTCTCCCTGCTTGCAAAGATATTACACACAAGCCATTGTAGAACGTGAGCTGAAAACCAACAGTTTCAGGCTCTAAGGGAAAATGACATAAAGACAACATCAGTTGACTCTCATTTAAGTCAGCGCCTGAAGGATGCTGCTTCCTGCTCTGACTTTCCTCTTGAATGGGCATGTGGCAAATACGTGGCATGCCTAGGGCCACTCTCCAACCCTCTCCACCTCTTCCCATGAACTTTGCTCCCGTGTACTTTAGACGCAGCTTCAGAATCCTCAACACTCCAGTGAGACCCAACCAACCTACTCGAGTGGGCACGTCAGATTAAACTGATTTAACACCTGCTCTACAACCAAAGCCAAAGAGTATTAACCCATGGAGGGGGTCAGAGAAAAAGAGAGGCATTCCCACACTACTCAAAAGCATCAGTGTGAGATGAGATTGCTTTAGGGGCAGGGGGAGAAAAGATGGGAAGAGGAAAAGACACTTGAATCTTTCAAAATGGAAACAACACATGGTAATAAGAAATTACTGCCCCAGCTGCTATAACGTTGGATTTCTTCAGGGAGCTGTGGGTTTTTTCCCCTCCTCAGAGCTGTAGTCTTTAAGAGTATATGAGATGTTTCCTGTTACATAACTACCCTAATGTTAGTTCTCCCTTATTGGAAATGCTCCAAGTTTGGAGTATTTCTTTCAGTATGTGTGGTATCAGATTCCTCTAATCTGATACTGAGAGTCCCTGGGACAAAATGTCACTCCTATGAAGCCCTTTTCCGAATCCTCCAGTTAACACCTCTCATTTCTCCCCTCATCTCTGTGTCAGCTTTGCTCATCTTTCCCTCACTCCCTCCCTCGTCCTCTCCCTCCTTCTCGTCCTCCTTCTGTGCTTTTGCTAAGTCCATGAATGTGTATTGAATACCTCCTATATTTCAGAAACTGCCAGGCATCAGGGTGACCGAGATGAACCCACACTATCCCTGCCCTCCCAGAGGCTAGGATCCTGTTTGGGCACGTGCCCGAGGAAGTGTGCCCCCCTTTCCTGGGTTCTGTAGGCTGGTGGCTGGACTAAAGAGGGCATATCTTTATGGTGGCCTGGGGCTTGGTCACCATCCTCTGAAAACAGCAGAGCTCCCATCAGAGGTCTCAGTGACAAGCAATTTCTTTTTCAGCACCCAGCTGAGAACGGAGGCAAATGGTAACACAAAAGCAGCCAAGAGCAGTGCTTTACTTAGAAAAACAACTTTAAGGGGCGCCTGGGTGGCTCAGTGGGTTAAGCCTCTGTCTTCGGCTCAGGACATGATCCCAGGGTCCTGGGATCGAGCCCCGCGTCGGGCTCTCTGCTCAGCAGGGAGCCTGCTTCCTCCTCTCTCTCTCTCTCTGCCTGTCTCTCTGCCTACTTGTGTTCTCTGTCTGTCAAATAAATAAAATCTAAAAAAAAAAAAAAAAAGAAAAACGACTTTAAGGACAAGTTCTGAAGTCAAAGTGGACAACACTTGGGTAGACCACGAATGCATGCTATTAACCTTTGCTTAACTAAGCCACAAGGAGATGAGCTGGTTGAGGGCCGAGGCCTTATCCCGCGGCACAGAGCCTGGTCCAGCGAGGTCTATCGAGGAAGTAGAGGTAGCGATGGGGAAAGGACCAGAGAACGGACCAGACACTGAAAGCAGGGAAGCAAAGCAACAACGTTGAAGAGACAGAAGCTGGAGGGCTCCCCCCGCCCCACTGCAGTCTGGGGTGGCTTGGAGCTACAGACTGAACCTTAATGGCCCCTGAAAAGGCAGCAAAGAGTCAGATAAGATAAGAGGCAGATGGCTCTATGGGTGCCACAAAATCACTTAAAGGCCAAACTTGCGACTATGCAGAAACTCATGGGCGGCACCAGAGTCAAGGATTCCCTCCAGCTCCCTCTCTTGGAGGACTCTGGCACCGAGCTTCCCCTGCATTTATGAGGGACACAGTATAGTGCGTGAGACATAGCAGCATTTGGTAATGCGTTACGAATGTTCATATAACATGGAGGAGTGATCCACTCACTGCATGGATAAAATATTTAAGGTTATGCATTATGCGCTAGGCACTGTGGGGCACTGGGGGTGCAGTGATGGGCAAACACAGCCTCTGCCTTCAAACTTCTCAGTCTGATGGAGGAACCAGGTACCTACATCAGCCACAGA